TGATATTGTTCCAAACGTTCCGGTGATGATTAAAAAAATATAAGGCACAGGCAATCAAAATTATACAAATATTGACTGGTATTATATAACAGATACAAGTTTTAACCAAAACCTAAGTATCAAATATTGGTGCAGTATGTATGCTGTTCCTAATATTGCCGGTTTTTGTAGCTCTGATGGTGGTGTGATTTTTGAGATCTGCAACTGCTTACAGTACTGTGTGAAATTTCTTGATATTGTTCCCAAAGCCCTGATGACTACGAGGACCACTGAAGCGTGTTTCACCACCAAGCAAGCGTTTCAATTGCCAGATCTCTGTATTTTGTTAGAATTTCTAGTTCTTTATTTTCAATTCTGGCATCCCTCAGAAAAGCAATGTCAATGATCCAGACATTTCTTCATTCTATTACTGCTATGTGTCATGTTAAAGGTGTCTATCCGTTTGAATCCAGAAATCTCATAAGATCTTGACTTCCTCATTTTTTGACACCTTCTCTACCTGATGTTCCCATGGGTTGTTGGAGGCTGGCAAGTTTTAGTTTTTGCATAATGACCAGTGCACTAACTTTGCTACTCTCTCATGTCCAACTTTGTAATCTGTGCAGTCTTCGGACACTCACAGATGAAGTGTGACAAAGTTTCATCTGTTTCTTGGCAGAGTTGACATTTGCTGTTAGCACTAATCCCTTGGATCTTAGCTTTCATCACATTGGTTTGGAGTGCTTGTTGTTGTTGTTGTTGTTATTTAGATGTAATGTCTTTGCCATTTTGTTGTTGTTGTTGTTTTTGTTGTTGTTTAGATGTAATGTCTTTGCCATCTGCAATCCCTTGCTGGAATGCCTACCCAGCTATATCTGTGTGTGTAGTAGGGAAAGAACAAGAGAACAACTTATTTTTCCCTTTGCGTTGCCAAGCAATTTAGGCATCCATTTAATTACTTTCGGCTTTTAAAAAGCTAAGAAGATTTGGACTATATGGTAACCTCTATATTTTATGGGCCAGGTACCATATCCTGCATAGCCGTTTCTTCCTAAATGTATCCTAACTCTGACACCAAGTATAGGACCACAACACTGTACTGATGCATTCCTGAATAACATCTAAATCAAGGATAGCTTCTTGAACTTACCAAAGGGAAACATGGAGAGAGTGCTCTGAATCCTCCCATTCATCATACCCTTTCATTCATTTCCTGAAGTGCTGCTTTTTGCCTGCCAGGACATGAAAAGAGAATTTATCCCATCATGGACAAAAGAAGAAAACTCTGAGGAAGAAGAGCCATCAAGGAAAAAGGATGAGTAGGGGACTGTTCAAACATCCCCTACCATGACCTATTGGAGATTTTAATTCTACCTCCGCTCAGTTTTCGATTGGTCTTCTAATAGGTTCTCACACATATGTCTAAATCCAGAGCCAATACAGTGGTTTTTAAAAGTGCACATGTAGAGCCTGCAGTAGCAAGAGCTCCCTTCCCATCAGAAAAACCCTCTGCTTGGCTCACTCTGTACCAGGTGTATCCCTTTTGAGAGCTGGCAGTTTTGTTCCTTCCCTGTGTCAGCATGAAGTGGTACAAAGACGAATGAGTCAATTGTATCTGGTGCAGCATTATCTTTTCCCTGTGGAGTCTGCCTGGAAGAAGGCAAAGCGAATCACAAATGTTGCAGGCAGCCTTCTCTGTGAGGAGCTTTAAATCTTTTAATCAGTTTACTCCAACACAGTTCTTCCTTTACACACCAGTGTGCCACAACATACGGTCTCTGAACTATATGAAATAATTCACAGTCTGTAATTTGTGAACTACAAAGTCCATCTATGGGTTTATTTATTATTTCAATTTAGTTATCTCCCCACAGTGGAAACACATTCTCTGGGCAGTTTACAGCAAAGCATACAAAGAAAGAATAAATACAGGGCAATATCCAAACACATGTCAGCAAATAATAAAATCAATTAATCAATCAAACCACTGAACTAGCTAACCTATCTTTAGATATACAAAACAATTTAGAATTACATTGTACATCACAGGTATGATCACTAATAAAAGGCAGCTTTCTATATTTCTTCCACCCCCCCATACACACCCACACACACACAAGTGCTTTAAAACTTTGAGGGAAAGCACCTGGTGAAGTTTATTCCAGAGATGTGAGGCCGGCCATAAGAAATGTATCCATTTGTTACATGAATATATGCATTCATATATATTCCATCACGTTCATTCTGACTTATAGAGACCCTTTTTAGAGTTTTCTAAGTAGGGAATACTCAGGAGTGGTTTACCATTCTCTTCTGGGGGGGGGGACACCTGTGCATCTTGCCCAAGCTACACAAGCTGGTTCTTCTGGGATGCACAGTGAAGAATTGAGCTCCCAACTTCAGGCTCAGGAACCAGACACCTAACTCACTGAGTTATCCAGCCAGCATATATAACATGTCACCTTCTCCAAATGTCGCCTGAAGGAAGCTAACAAAGTATGGGAAGCAAATACAAAGTAGTGATCAAAACAGCATAAAAATCACAATAGGAAAGGGATCAATAAAAACAGGCTTAAAAGCAAATTAATTAAAACTCTCCAACTTGGCTGAATGGCAACATGGCTATTGCTCCACAACAAGATGAGACTTTCAGTTCACAGCCTGTCTGCTAGAAGTGAGTGTTGTGCAAAGGATTTCACAGAACAAAGGGGTGCTTTTTCTGATCAAGTTGGAAGATACACATTCATGGTGCCCTTCTCTTAATATGGTTCCAATTACAGTGGGGGCTTGACTTGAGAACTTAATCTGTATTGGAAGGTGGTTCTCAAGTCAAAAAGTTCTCAGGTCAAATCTGCATTTCCCATAGGAATGCATTGAAAACCATTTGATCCGTATCTGCTCTTTTCCGTCCATAGAAACTAATGGAAAGCTGCTATTCCGCCTTCGACCCCTAGAGGGGGATATTTTGTTTCTTTTTTTCTCCCAATCCACTCTCTAAACGCTGGGAGGAGTGAGGAAGCAGACAGGCACCCTTTTCACTGGCCAACAGTTAACGGAAAGTTCAAATTTTGCACTTTCCCTGCCTCCCACATGATTTTTTTCAGTTCTTAACTCAAATCTAAGTATGTAAGTCAAGTCAATATTTTCCTATGAGAGTGGTTCTTAAGTCAAAATGTTCTTAACTCGAGCCGTTCTTAAGTCAAGACCCCACTGTATAACTTTCAAGGTTTATTAATATTTTATTAAAAGTTACGTATCACTTTGAGAACCGTATCCTGCATTCCTCAAATCTTTATTATGAATTTGGAAGTGAGGCTGCGTCCCTGAAGCTGTCATGGGCCTACTAAAAAGGTTCTTATCACCAACCAAGTTGGTTTCAACTTTTATGGCATGTGAAATAGTCACACAGTGTGCAGATAGCATTCTATGACTCCAGCTAAAACTAGCCATCAGTTTGTACTGGAGGAAAAACATAATAATTTTATTACGTCAGGAGCCAATGCTACAAATTGGATTTCATTCTGTTCATGCCATAGGAAAATGATACAGCTAATATCTCCTGTCTGCAATGCCTCCTCACAAAAGCCTGTGAGATGAATCATTAATACAGATATGGAACCATTTTTATAGATATGGAACTGAGACTGAGGTTTAGTGACTTGCTCAAGGCCATCTGGTGAGTTTATGGCTTAGCTGGAATGTGACGTATCTTTTCCTAGGCCTATTTCCAGTCACCAAGGAGAAAGCAGCAAAGAAATTAAGTCTAGGTAGTGATTAAAATAAACTTTATTTTAGAGGCAAAATCCATCAGAATTGCTTTAACGTGATATGCATATTTTCAGAAAGAGGAATCAGACCCACTTGATATATTACTGTGCTGAACTGGCTGAGATGGTACTGAACCTATTGGAGAACAGCAGTAAAGAAAGAGGACTATTTATGGTTAACAGGAGATTGTGCTCTTTTCTGAATACTGGAAATCCCATATATATGATTTCTGATTTCTGTTAACCTAGCAAGTAGTGAAATGATTTGTGGTTTATACAGTACAGAATGAAGAGTGGCATAGTCTAAATTTGAAGAGACATACAACAATGTATTCACGAAGGCTTTCACGGCTGGGATCTAATGGTTGCTGTGGGTTTTTCGGGCTCTTTGGCTGTGTTCTGAAGGTTGTTCTTCCTAACATTTCGCCAGTCTCTGTGGCCGGCATCTTCAGAGGACAGCACTCTGTGCCCTGTGGGCACCTCTGGTCTAATGAGCACAGAGTGCTGTCCTCAAGATGCTGGCCACAGAGACTGGCGAAATGTTAGGAAGAACAACCTTCAGAACACAGCCAAAGAGCCCCAAAAACCCGCAACAACCATAAGACATACAACAACCTTTTGTGCTCACGGTCCGATAGCAATGTAGGGCATTTAAAAGTGTTCATTGTTGTCTCAAATAAGATATTTCAAAACTATAAACTATTACTAGGAGTATACATGCACTCTTTTTGAGAAGAAGAGAATCAGCTGTCATGATTAAATCCAGCACTGCTGTTAACATCATAACTGGATGGCCCCATAAAGAGACAACCATGTTCTTCAAGGCCAACAGCAACTGTACCTGGATATTTTTTCTTACATTTTTGTAAAAGAAGGCCCATAAAACCATATTTCATTCTTCTAACAAATAAAAAATATATCTGGAATGCTGGGAGAAAAACAGGTTAGAAACCATCTCTTGTGTCCCTTAATACAACCTATTCTTTGGCTCTTCAGTACATGGAATTCAGGAACACTTAAGTTTCAAAAGAACTGTGATTCTTGGAAAAGCAATTCAAGACAGACTTGGAAAAGAAAATTCTTTGCATACACAAACCCCGGGGGAGATCAATGTTCTGAGAAACTGAAATCAAATTAATTTCCACATTGGCTATCATTTTTGAAAAGTAGATACACCTTAGGTTATACTGGGTAATAAAACACTGTTGTTTTTGTTCTTTTCTCCCCATTCCCTATCCCTATCTTTTTAATTAGAATCTTCCATGGAGGCACTGTGATAATCCCTGGAACACAGACCGCTGTTTCTCCAATTACAGTATAACAAATACCACCAACATGACAAGTGCTGTTTTGGAATTCTGGGAGTAAGCCAAGAAGAATATTTTTCTCATTCCTATGCATATGTAGAATTGATTGCTTAGTTTTTGAAAAAAAGGTAAGTCAGGCAAGTTCATACACTTCCTCTTTTTTTCCAGACGTAATATGCACCAAATGACAGACGGACTGGAAAAACCAGGACAGATCCGTTGGCCATTAGCCATTACTTTAGCAATTGCCTGGGTTTTAGTCTATTTCTGCATCTGGAAAGGGGTAGGCTGGACAGGAAAGGTAAGAGGGGTTTTTGCATTGTGTTCCGTTTTTTGTTTTGCAAACCTACCCACTGCAATCTTAATCAGCACAGTTTTTTTTTAAAAAAAATGCATGCATTGGTACAGATAGATGTGTCTTGTTGGTAGACCTTTCCATGAAATTTTCAAATATGTTTACCGCACATTATACACTGATGTCTTTGTTTATTCAGCTTACAGACCAGCCTTCCTTATAGGAACTCAAAGCAGTGGATACTGCTGTGGCTTAAATTAAATGTAAATGCTATGTTTGAATTGTCTCTGTTCCAAATTGCATGATTAATTACTTAGGCGTCACAAAGTGATTTCTGTGAGCATTTAAAAGAGAACAAAAATGATAAGAAGATAAGTAAGTGTGCAAGATTGAAGAAGCAGGTTAGATGAAAGAAAACTGAGCATGAATTTGTTCTGCATTACACAACAGTGAGATGGAATTTGTAGCATCTACTTAAGAAAGGAGACTAGTGCTAGATTTCTCTCAGATGTCCCATTACAGTATTATATTTTCAATTCTAGTGTTAAACTCATTGAAGGAATTCAGTATGACCCTTGTGTTTAATCCTGTCCATCTCATTCTTCATATTAGGTGGTGTACTTTTCTGCTACATACCCATATGTCATGTTGCTTATCTTGTTCTTCCGTGGAGTAACACTACCTGGTGCAAGGGAAGGCATTTTATTCTACATAACCCCTAAGTTTGAAAAACTATCAGATTCTGAGGTAAGTATTTTGAATTATAAGTATTTTGAAGTATTTTGAATTCCATTTTGAATTATATTGTCACTTTTTTTTAAAAAAATTATTATTATGTTACTTTTATGTCTTATTGTTAGCCACTCAGAGTAGACTTCGGTCTAGATGGGCAGGGTATAAATAAATAAATAAATAAATAAATAAATAAATAAATAAATAAATAAATAAATAAATTCAGGCCGGATTTGTAACTTAAATATTTATATGATTGTTGTTATTACTCTAGTGTTATTATGTACTTATTGCCTAGCAATATTCTCACCTTTGAAAGTATGGATATCACAAATAAAAAGTTACACACATTTGTTCTTTATTATTAGGTATGGCTGGATGCTGCCACACAGATCTTTTTCTCTTATGGTTTGGGTCTTGGCTCATTGATTGCTCTAGGAAGTTACAACCCCTTCAACAACAATGTTTACAGGTAAAGCAGCAAGGTTTCTCTCCTGGCCTAGATATGACATATATGGAGACATTTCAAGTCATATGGAACACACTCCCTATGAAATCTAAGAAGAAAGGCTGTATCTAAAACAAGGCACTAGGAATTGCCTAAGTTGCCTTCCATATTAAACTCAGAGTGGCAGCTTGTTCTTCAAGGAGAGCTCCTGCCAACAACGTTGAGCTACAAATGGAAATAGTTGGAATACAAAATTGAAGACTTCATTCCTTCCAGTACTACATTCAGATTGTCTAATGCCTATCATTTGGGAAGAAATACAGGGCAATCAAAGATATTGTGATGGTTTCTCTATGTTTAAAGCAATTTTAGAGTTACACATTCATCTTATTTTGTAAATTGAAATTAAAAAATAATTTTACAAATTTACATTCAGTGGCTTCCAAGATATATAGCGTCTTGAAGGTGTCAGTTTGATGGGGAAGGATTACGGAGCCGTTCTTGTAGCCCTTAATTGGACAGCATGAGATCCTAACAGATTATCTTTTCTTGTAGAAGGCCTGTAAGATCAAGGGTATGCATGCTATAGGGAGATTTCAGGAATAATTACAGCATATTTTCGTCCTTCCTGCTTCCCACACTCTCTCATTCATTCATTCATTCATTCATTCATTCATTCATTCATTCATTCATTCATTCCTAGTTGTGTGGCAGTAGAAGATTCCAGCTGGAGAGAAAGGTGGAAGCTTTCCTTTTTCCTCCTGAAGAACTTCTGTTTTTGGTGTGGTTTTTGCTGTTGTCTGGTGAGCCAGGAACAGCTCTGGACAGCTAGTAGGAAGTCTGAACAAAAGGACTTTTCTGGTTCTTGGGGTTCACTATAACAATTGTAATCTTACGATAGAAAGTTCTATGAGCACTGCATGTCTAGAGAAGCTTTGTATGCTGCATATCAGGGTATAGAGCACTCTTACAAAAGAAACGAAGTTGGCTGATTCCTTTCTGTCCTTCTACCAGCAAGCAAAAGCTTTTTTTTTCTTCAACAAGCTCAGCGAGGAGTTTTAATGTGGCATGCTGCATTCTTTATTGTGTTCTCCTGTGTTTTAGTGTGTTTTAAACTGCTTTTGTATTAGTATTATTTTTGATGCTATTTTATGTTTAATTTTTAAAAAATTAGAACTTGCCAGCTGAAATCTATTAGTAAGTTGAAGCTAGAGCAAGCCCATTTAATCAGTGAGGATTTGGTGTGTCAATTCCTCTATATGTCTCATTGATTCAATGGGCCTACCCTAGTTGTAACTTACTACCAAGTTTTTTGCTATGTTTTTTAAAATCATTAGTGAGCCACTTTAGGGTGTTGCATTGGAAGAAAGGTAATATTAAAAAAGATAGATAGACAGATTCATTCATTTATTCATTCATTCTATCTGGGTATTCTTGGCTGAGATTCTTTCAGCCATATGTAATACAGCGATACATCATACAAATAACATACTTTCCCTTAAAGTATCTTATTCAGAAAAGTCTGAACAAGAGACACACCAAAAAATAGTGTTTCAAATGGCAAGCAAGAATCCTATTGCTGCTCATGTTAAAACTCATATCTAGAGATTAAATAAGATGGCCTTTTTTATTTATAAACAGCCAACTTTGACTATTCAGTCATTAAACAGAAACATTAATTAATGCTAATGAGAGTATGGTTAAGCTCTCTGACAAGAAGAATATGGTTAAAGTGTTCGATTTCACAAAGGGTCACTATCCCTTGCTCTTTTCTTCCTTCAGGGACTCTATCATAGTGTGCTGCATAAACTCCTGCACAAGTATGTTTGCTGGTTTTGTTATCTTCTCTATTGTTGGATTTATGGCTCATGTCACCAAGCGTCCTATTGAAGAAGTTGCAAAATCAGGTATGCTGTCTCTTTAATGAATTGTGGTACATTCTTGTTTCATTAGCTAGTATGTATGGTAATTAACTCTTTCTAAACATTGGTAATTTCACCTGTTTGGCTGTTCATCTGTCTTCTGCCCAGCCACCTGAAGAAGATATAATTCAAATCTTTATATGGAAAAGACCAAAGAGAACTGACAGTCCTCACAGTTATAGTTGACTGTTTTTTACAACCTCAGCAAAAACTGGCCTGAATGTCTTTATGGAGTCTTTGATATTGTTTTCATTGATAATTCTGTTGTCCTCATCACATATGTTAGACCAGTCTTGTATTTTCCCCTGCTGCTCCTCCCCCCGTGAATTGTTTTGCTAGTAAACAGGGTAGAGATATTGTCTGGAAAAAAATTAAATGGGAAGAAGTAAAAGTCAAAATCCTACTAGAATTTCCATTAATGTTGTGTAATCTGTTGCAGCTAATCACAGTAAATTTAACAATATGGACCACGTCCTGCGACTGCATTTCTTAAAGACAATCATAACAAGACACATTTTGGCTGTCAAAATTGTAGAAAATGCTGCTTTAAAATAAATTTGGATACAGTTCTCAAGTCAAGACCCCACTGTAAACTTAATGTAATGGGGACATTGAATGATTTTCCAGCAGTATCACATTCTGTGACCTATAGCCAATATCAACACTGGCACTGCAGCACTAACATGATGGAACATTCTTCCCTTCCTGTTCAAAATTATGCAACAAAAGGAAAATAGTTATTTGAAGAATATATAGGAATAGAAAGCCTAGAAAACACCCCTGGATCCTTACAATGTGGATAATAAGAACAAAGAGATAGCAGGCATATTTTAAAAATGAGTATCTACTCTTCTCCCTCCAAGTTAAATGCTGATGGATATTAATAATTCTATCATTGAGGATTTTTAAAAAATTGCAGTGTATGTAAAAGAACTGTTTGAATAGAAGGGACCCAAAGTATTTATTGTACGAAATATTGATACCAGACTGGCAGTATGAACATTCAAAAACTAAACTGCAATACAGATAACAAAAAGAAGCAAAGTACCTGGACTTGATGTTTTCTCAGATGAATTAAGACTAATGGAAGATCATGACTTCTTGATGGCGTTTTAGCAAATCTTTTCAATCATATCTAGGTAAAGGTAAAGGTTCCCCTTGACAATTTTTGTCCAGTCGTGTTCGACTCTAGGGGGCAGTGCTCATCCCCGTTTCCAAGCCATAGAGCCAGCGTTTGTCCGAAGACAATCTTCCGTGGTCATATGGCCAGTGCGACTTAGACACAGAACGCTGTCACCTTCCCACCGAGGGGGTCCCTATTTATCTACTTGCATTTGCATGCTTTCGAACCGCTAGGTTGACAGGAGCTGGGACAACCGAGGGGCGCTCACTGCGTCGCAGGGATTCGATCTTACGACTGCTTGGTCTTCTGACCCTGCAGCACAGGCTTCTGCAGTTTAGCCCGCAGCGCCACCACGTCCCTCTCAATCATATCTAGAGAACAACAATCATTCTTGAAATCTGGCTGAGACAAACCTTTATTACATTAACTAGCAGTTAAATGCTGAAACTTGCATAGTAACTTTAGTGATCCATTTGGTAAAGGTTTTCTTAAAAATCATGCCATAGCAGAATTTACACAGAGTGTGAAGAAGGATCAGGAAGCATGCAGTTTGGATTAGAACCAGAGAAAAAACATTGTATTCTACCTATATGCAGTTGGTGAGAGAAACTGTGATGTAGATATGTATTTTATTGACTGTGGTAACAGCCTTTGACAATGTCCAGCAGCTGATGGAGTTGTTCATAAACAAAGGTCCCAGTTGAAGAGACATTTTGTGTTTTGATATTACACTGCAAAAAGAATAAACTAGCTTCAATGTTTCTCACAAAAGTATTAATTTTAATTATGTATGTGTGTGTGTGCATACAATAAACCTTATCTCATGTATCAGTGATATGCTTATGACTGAATCATGCTTTACTGAAATCTTTGTTTCAAATATTTTACCTCTGCTCCATATCCCTCATTTTACATCTTCCAATCATCAGACCTTACTGTGCTTCTCGAACTATTTTGGTCTAAATCCAATAGTCAGTCTCAATTAGAACAGACCCATTGAATTAATGGGACTGATCCATGTGAGCTTAACAGGTTTTGCTCATGCACTGGGTCTGCTCTAGTTAGGACTGACATTTGGGTTTGCCACAATATCTGTAACTTTGATGTCTAGTTGGTGTAATGCATCTTATTGTTTTGTGTTATTGTACTTTGAAATAAGCTGCACTGCCCAGAATCCTGTTGCTCATCTATACTTGCATAAGGGAAACAACATAAAGCTTGTCAGCAAATTACCACTTATTAACAAGGTGCTGTTTCCTTTCCTTTGTGTGTGCTTCATCAGGAACACAGCAAACACCTTGTTAAAGAGTGGAAATTTGCCCATCATTATGAAATTTTCCTCACACAAGTTTAAATTGGCAGTAGGGTTTGGAGCACTAATTGTCATAAAAAGATTGAAAGTGAGTGATGCAAAATAATCTGTTACATCTTGCCTTAGTCACAATTTTGAAGCCACGTGCCATTTTGTCCATTCCCAGGTCCAGGGCTTGCGTTCTTAGCATATCCAGAAGCAGTGACGCAACTTCCTGTTTCTCCATTGTGGGCAATACTATTCTTCTCCATGTTGCTTATGCTGGGAATTGACAGTCAGGTAACACAGATACAGCGTTGTTTTTAAATGTTTTCACAGACAGCAAACATTAAATAGTTCACATTGTGTTTTTCTCAGCACATGAAATTTCTCGTTGTACAGTATCAGCTACTTTGTTGGTGCAGACAGGGAAAAGGTTGTCAATAGGGCCAAACATATTGGTCAAGTCCAGACGTAGTGCTTTGTGTCCTTTTTTTTGTTACAGGGGTGATACATTTACATTTAGGGGTGCTTTGTTTTGTTTTTGCTCTAACAAAACAGTAATCAAAATGGTACATCTTTTCTCTTGTACACCCAGTTTCAGGCGGCTTGTTCTATCACTACTGTTTCCCTTTTATGTCCAATTGAGGAGGCTTTGTATAAGCCTTCTCTTCCAATAAATCCTGCTTCCTGTGCTGTGATCCTAGCCTCAGGGAGAGCTTTATTTGGGTATCACAGGGAAACTGCTTAGCAAACTAGGAGGTCTCATCAGAAGTCAGCCTAAGAGAAGAAAATAGTGAGGAGAGAGCATTTGAACTGCTAGCTTGTACCTAACCTAACAAAGCAAGTACTGCTGCCTCACTTGAGCATAAGACTATACTGTGGTTTAGAGATGCATAACTAACCCTTGGACTCAGGCACTCATGTTACGTCTCCTGCTCCAGCATTGCTAGATTTGCTTGTCAGTTAATTTCAGTTTGATGAAACAATACAGTTTCATCAAATACAGTATAATGCTCACTTTCCCCTTCTATAAGGTACAGTTCAAACTAACCACAGTTTATCAAGGTTCAGATACCGAGTGACAATAGTGCAGTATTTTTGAAGCAGTGTAATGAGTAATAGGAACAAATTCCTGCTTAAAACTGCTGAGCAGAGAAATTAACCGACTAATTAAATACTTTTAAAGAAAATACAATTAAAGTCTGTTTTCTGGCACCTAAAGAATAACAGTGGGCAAGAGACAAGTTTCTTTAGGGTCAGGAATCCAGAGGAAACAGCATTTTTCAGGTCAATGCAAAGCTCTCCCCTGCCAAAAGGGGAACAGGTAGACTAGGGACTAATGCCTACCTGTTCTGCATAGAGCCAAACCAACGTGGAACTAGAGATGACATGGGATAGTACCTTAGATTACTCATTTTTTTTCTAAACCACTTATTATGAAGCACTCAATAGAAGGGTATGCATTTCTGAACAAACATGGATAATCCGAGAGCTCTCTTCAGAAAACTCATTTTCTGCTTTTTAAGACATATCAAACTCAAGAGGAAGAGAAAATAAGCAATGATACCAAGTAAATGATAGCAAATTGCAGAAAGCATTGATATAATAGTGAACAGAAAATGATATGGCTTTGACTGCCAATGGAGTTATAAACAACCTTTATATTTTATAAACTGCCGGAGAATAGACAACTGGTATATAATTCGTGATCATGTTTCAAATTAGGTAGTATACAGTCACCCTTTCCCCCTACCCCCCAGTTTATTTAAAGAGATTCTGTAGTTCTATAGAGAAAGACAGACAGAGTTCAACAAATGCATACTGGTCCCAGAAAAAAGGGACAATCCCTCCTTTATATTGTAGCATTGAATGGTTTGTTTGCTAACATTCTTCCATGTATAAAAGCATGGGCACTGGGATTGCTTCTAAAGGAAGTGGTCCTTAGACCTACTAGATTCTTGGAGGTTAGTAAAAGATACTAGAGGGAAGCTATAAGAAACATATACCCTGAAGGGAAATATTTCTACTACGAATATGCAAATTTCTTATAACCCAACGAGCTGTTCTGAGAATTCTGATCTTTTCTGCAGTTGGGGTCATGCTGAAAGAGGTATGCACAACAGCATTTAATGGTGATGACCTGTTAGTCACAGCAGGTTAATTATAGTGCATAAGGAAGATGATGGGTAGGCCATGAAAATTCTCCAGAAGACAAATGAAGACATAAGACATAAGACATAAGAAATTTATTTGTCATTGCACTCACAAGTGGGTGCAATGAAATGAGGTGCTCTTCCCCAAGGTAAAACTGGACAACACCACTACAAAAAAAAGTTAAAATAAAAAAAGTTAAAATATACACAAAACACCACTACAAAAAAAAAAGTTAAAATAGAAAAAAGTTAAAATATACACACAAAAGCAACACTTTTTTGATTCTGGGCCATTACCAATGACAAAACTGACATACAACTAGGGTTGTGCATCCTGGTATTGATACTGTACATTCATTTTTTAAAAAAAAAATCTTCTTAACCCTTAATGGGATAAATGTCAGCTGTGATGGACCACCACAGATACAAATTACCAGTGTGCTATAATCATATAGTGTTATGAGGACTTTGATTCTGATACACATATAAGAGCAAAACAGGCAAAAAACAAACAAACAAACAACTGCACAGGTTGTGTGTGGCCCTGCTAAGGAAAACTCTCTGGTTCGAGGTTGGATAGAAATGAGTGAATCTCAGACATGTTCCTGTGAAAACTTTGTGCAATCCAAGTGGCCAAAAAAAGATGGTGAAGAAGACACTTCTCTCCCAAAGAGCCAATGTGCCAGAGAAGGACAAAGATGACATCAGCACTCAAACAGACACTATCAGCTAGTGCAACAACAGCAGTGATGCTGCTGCTTCTTTGGTTGGGAAAGAGATTGATGAAGAACACCAGACCATGCCTTCCATATCCACCCCATGCAGCTCCATCATATTCACGGAAGGGTTTACTCCCAGCCCCCATTCCCAGCAAATCTCTCCTGTGCAGAGCAACATTGGGTTTGCTGGGAACTCAACTTCAAGTATATCTGGTGTGGGGGGAGCGGAGGAGACTGAGAGGAGCAAGGTGGGCACTATTTCAGAGGCATGTGACACTGAAATCACCACTGTTCCTCCAGCTGCTTTTGTCCCACCAGTTGCCAGAACTAGGAGTGATGACAAGTTAATAATCTTGCTGTTAGGAACATGCAGGATTCAAAACATGCCTATCTCTGCAAGGTCATGGCAGAGGGAGAGGCATATATGCAGGAGTCCTGGAAGTCAAAACAGATGGATCCTTTGTCTTACTGCACTGGGAAGGAATCTATTTGAGGAGGACTGGCCAAGGTGGCAGTGGGACTATTGTCATGACCACCAACTAGTGTGCCCAGTGGGAGAGTGTTCTCTCAGGCAGGGGACATTGTCAGTCCACATTGCTCAGGCCTGGAGCCTGGAACTGTAGGAAAAACTACTTTCCTTAAGGTCAGCTTACCATTGCTGGGTTTCCCTGAAGTCCCCTTTAAGGAAGTGAGAATGTCACTGTCTGCTCACAGTACTAGGTATGCCATGCTTCAGTCTGCTGCTCCCCCTTCTGCCTCTTTCGTTCTACCAAATGCTTGTCCAAGATTGTGCTCACTCACTCAGCTGTGCTGAGCCCCATGCAGCTGGCCCAGTTCGAACCCACCGTAGGTGATCTGCTGCTGCAATCTGTCTGCCAGAACTGCCCAGGGTGTTTGCCCACTGCCCAGTGTGACCTCTTCTTCATTCATTCAATTTATATGCCGCCCAAACTACCCAGAGGTCTCTGGGCGGCTTACAATAATTAAAATTCAATACAGCAAAAGATAAAATAATTATAATAATAATAATAATCATTAAATTATTAAATTATATAATTATTAAATTATTATAATAAATATAATTATAATAATACCGAGGCCCTGCTAAGTCTTGGTGTGCACTCTTCCTGTTTGGCACAATCACCGGAAAGGTGTCAGAGCACACAGATAAATCCTTTTAAATCATTTCACCTGTTTGTGGGGAAATAATGACTATATATTGTTCATAATGACTTTAACGGAGATCTAGATATCCAATAATTCCAAATTTTTAATTTTCTGAATTCCCAATCAGAAATTTGAGTCCAAATTTTGGTTCTAGTGCACATACCTAATTCAGACATACAGATAAAGAGCTTCACTTGAGGACAATTGTACCGAGGAAAACAAGATGTTGGAAAAAACATGGCAACATAGTCTGAACATTGATTGAAGCAATCAATCAAAGGTCTGAGAGGCCAGAACTTTCCAGAAGTCTTGAGTAAATGCTGTTTCTCATCAGACCTTCAGCTCAGTATGATTCATAATCTGCAGGCCTACCCTGTTAACCTTGGCATGCCAAAATAACTAAGGCAGGTGCCCAGCCTGACAATGAGTTCACAGATTGTCATAGAGTGAATTTTGCTGAGAGGCACAGATAGATTTCCTCATAAGCCCTAATTGGATTGCCCTTGGAGGAGACATACCTAGGTTGCCTGCATCCCCTGGAGTCTTTCATTCTGTCTCCAATGTCCTGTGCAAAAAAAAATTTTTTTTCATCTCATTATGCTATTAGCATCCATTCTAGAGAATAACCAGTTTACAGAGTCCCTTTAACTGTGGTAATATAGGTACCTGACCCTTTACATGGATGTCCAATCAAACCATGCTATTGCTGAAAGTAACAGAGGCAGAATCCATACCTTGGCAGCTTAGCAGCTGTCCTAATTCTTGTAAAGGAATGTTTTCAATGTCCCTATCTTACTTTAGGCTTCAAATCTATGTTATGCATGTGTTAGCTTGCCTAGTTACGAACACAAGTGCGCCAAGGGGAGGTCATTTAAAACGGGAACCACTGGGCCCTGTGGTACAGCTCCTGATAAGCAATGGTTTCATGCAGTTGTTTAAATGCTTTACATTGTCTTCTGGTTTCTGTAAGATTGCTTTTGAAAACTTTAATTAGTGTAGCACCAATGAAGATGGAATACTGAATTGTGGGAGGCTCAGCTTCATACAACAAGCATTCCCTGATAGCCTTGAGGAAATTAGAACATTTAACTGGGGCAGGGTGGGTGGGGAATCACTGGACCAGTAAGATAACAAAATATAGAATCCTAGCAAATCCTCTCTATTTGTGGGTGGAAACACCTGTATAAAACATTGGTTAATTTCTGTACATTCTATGGAGTAAAGCTGATGATGTTATTCTCTAGTGAAATTGGGGGGGGGGATTCCTTCTCCCATTGCATGGCCTCCATGGGTCCTGAGTAATCCCTTCCATTGTCCAGAATGGACATTATGGGGGCCTGTGGGACAAGAAGGGGAAGTCCTTAATTACTGAAAATTGCTGCCAGTGAAATGCCTTTACCAGCAGTGGTAGTTTGTGGTTATAAACAACTTAAACAACCTGTCCCATAGTCTCCACATGTTCCTGACAATTAAGGGACCACTCAGGGCTCAGGAGGGCCAGGAGACAGGAGGAAGAAATGTTCAGTTTCAAACAAAAAAAAAGTCTCTGCTGATGACATCATTAGTCTTACACCACAGAATTTACGCAAACAGGATTTTCAGCCCATTCACAAATCAACAAAGCTGATTTTTTATGCTCCACCTTAGTTTGGCTTCTTTCTGAGCAACAGCTACTTCATAATGGAGTTGAAAATAAACTAGGTTCTTTTGTTCATTCTATCAAGCCTGATGCTCATTTTTTTTTAAAAAAAAAAAGTACACCCACTAACACTACATTAATAAGACATTCTGAAGAAATTGCTGTGACTTTAATTAGGTCAAACATATCCTTAACAGAATATGGCTTTAGGCTATTTGAAATAGCCAAGAAAAAGTAGCCTAATATTTCTGCACACTGAATACATGTCCAAGGGCATTCAGGATTCTTCCAATGTTGCATTGTTTACCATCTTGAACTGCTTCATTTCAAGTGTAATAGAAAATATTCCCATTTTACCTTCACCACTGAGTATTTTTTAAAATGTCCTCCATATCCTGTTCTGTCCTTAGTCTGCTTATAACACGTTGAAATGCTTACTGTTACATTGCCTTTTCTGACAAACTTTCAAGGGCCTACCAAAAAATGGGGAAACACTCCCTACATGATGACAGACAGACACATGCTAAGTAGCTCTTTTGGAGGTATGGCAGTCATTCATTCACTGTAAGGAAGCAGCTTGGTATCTGCCTCTGGAACAAAACATCTGGTCTGAGCAAATAAAGAAACCTGCTAAGTTTAAAAACAGAGGTCCGTTCATTCATTACTTAGAACCTTCTAATACCATTTTTCAGACCTAACAAAAGCCTCCAAAGCAACTTACATAACAGAACTAATTCAACAATAAGATGCTAAAATCAAAAGCAATACACTTAAAAATGTAAATGACAAAGCACCAAAGTTAACTGTAGTAAATGTTTTCAATGCCAGTCTAAATGCCAGTAGATTTATTTATTTATTTATTTATTTATTTATTTATTTATTTATTTATTTATTTATTTATTTATTTATTTATTTATTTATTTATTTATATCCCGCCTATCTAGTCAATGTGACCACTCCAGGCGGCTTAATTATGATGTTCTCATGAGAGGTCAGTGAGCTTAATTATGGCTAGTCCAGGGCCCTGCCCCATATTATGCTGGATGAAAATCATGCCCTTCCTTTTTAGATTATTTTTGGCACAATATATTGATTTCGTTGGGATCTCTTTATGGAGAAAGGTAGGATAAAAGTATTTCAAATAAATAAATAAATACTGTGTTATTAAACAACCAATATGAATTTTAACTTTTTTAGATTCTTCAAGAATTGTGAAGGGCTAGGATAAAAATGAATGTTCATTTAATCTCACTTGGTTTGGTTAATCTTTAATTCTGTTTTCAGTTCTGTACTGTTGAAGGATTCATAACAGCTCTGGTAGATGAATTTCCGAGGTTATTACGCAGTCGACGAGAAATTTTCATTGCTATTGTTTGCGTTGTTTCCTATCTGATAGGACTATCCAATATTACTCAGGTAAGTCAAGTCCCAAATATTTATTATACTTTATTTGCTATGGCTACATGTTTTAGTAAGTAGAATTAATGAAGACAAATGCTTTCTACAATGCTTATGATTTTAAGAGAGTTGAGACAATGATTACTTCAAGTTTTTCTTCAAATGCAGTGAGACTCAACCATTGGCATTCCAGATGTTTTATGTGTAAGCACTCAGAAGCTTCAGTCAGCATGTTCAATAGCTAGGAGTCTAGGAGCTAATGTCGAAAACATCTGGAGGGTCAAAGGTGGAGAATTCCTGCCCTAACGGATTTGAGACTAATACAATGGACAAAGGAATAACAGTTATACGTAAGCATCTTGCTTGGGTTAATGCTATGCTCAAGTCTTCCATTTAATTTGCATCCACTAAGAATCCCATCTCATTTTTTTTTACCCTTACATAGAACAGCCACATACAAACATAGTTTTTATAATCAATACCCAAATGTTTTTAATAAGTTTTTTAACTCAAACATTCCATAGTTTTCATGAAGGCTTTCATGGCCGGGATCTAATGGTTGTTGTGGGTTTTTCTGAAGATGCCGGCCACAGAGACTGGTGAAACGTTAGGAACATGGCCAAAGAGCCCGAAAAACCCAAAACAACCATTCCATTGTTTGCTTAGCCAAGCATGTTAGCCTGTTATATTTTATTGCATAAGCAAAAAGTCATGGCAATGTTTAAAACAAATACTGTACATAAAATGTGGCATTCAATTTTTACGCAAGGCAATGCATCTTACATGTCAACTCTTTCTTCTGTATCTACTTTGTGTCTTTGGTTAGATTAAGATCCCTCAGCAGTAAATGAATGGGCATGTCATATTTCTTTTATATATCTTTTTCATTTATATAGCCACCTTTCTCCCTGGATTGGGAGTTTGTCTTATGCAACATCAGGCAAAATGTTATTAATAAGGATAATTAGAGAATTCAACAAACACATGGACATTGCGGTACAGTAGGTCACAGTTATCCGAAAGCAAGTGGTAGATAAATGCTCAGTAGACCATAAAATATAGTAATGCAAAAAAAAAAAAAAAAAGGATTCAAAAGTAATCTCAGTCTTGAATTTTATACATTGCAGGGTGGACTATATGTGTTCAAGCTTTTTGACTACTACTCTGCAAGTGGGATGAGTCTCTTATTTCTTGTGTTCTTTGAGTGCATCTCCATATCCTGGTGCTACGGTAAGTGATGTTTTATTCTCCTGAAATGTAATTTAAACATATAAGACTGTACATACTGTGTATAGGATTCACATTTAAGTAAATATTGGTGTAAGCTCTCTATGGCGTTGGGCCTGCATACATTTCCTTCCCTTGCCATCACTCTTACAGCTGCCTGAAAACAGGCTGTTAAAAGTTGCTGTAGCCCTCCAAAGCAGGTTTTTAAAGATGACCTGGGGAGTCATTGGGCTACAGTTGGAGAGTAAAAATGCCTTCATTTTGTTCCACCAGTGGAAGTTCAGCTTTAGATCCTGTCCATTATGCTGACTTGCAATGGATCTCCTTCTCCTTCTCCTTCTCCTTCTCCTTCTCCTTCTCCTTCTCCTTCTCCTTCTCCTTCTCCTTCTCCTTCTCCTTCTCCTTCTCCTTCTTCTTCCTCTGTGTAATTGCTGGTTATGTGATCATTGGCTTCCTTGTATGAAACTGTCTTCGAGATCTTTGGGAGAAGCCCTTCTTTCACTTCTGTTGCCTCCACTAAGTATGTCTGGCGCAGATACTTCAGCAACACTTTCCATAGGCAATCTGACACATTTTTTTCTTTACATGGGGACAGTGCTAAACCAGTGGTTCTTAACCTTGGGTTACTCAGGTGTTTTTGAACTGCAGCTCCCAGAAACCCCAGCCAGCACAGCTAGTGGTGAAGGCTTCTGGGATTTGCAGTCCAAAAACAACTGAGAAACCCAAGATTAAGAACCACTGTGCGAAACTACCAAAGCACTGGATTGGGCCTTTGGGAAATTGTCTGGATGGGTCCATATGATATATTAAATAGACACATGCAGGTTCTCTACATATTGGTTACTGAGTTCTACCGATTGTCATTCTTTCCTTCTTTCTTTTTAGGTGTAAACAGATTTTATGATAATATCCAGGAGATGGTTGGCTATAAACCATGCATCTGGTGGAAGCTCTGCTGGTCCTTCTTTACTCCCATCATTGTGGCAGTAAGAACAAATTATTGTTTTATAATGGAAAAGAGACTAAACAACCTTGCAATATAAAATACATAGTATTATACCAGTGAGCTAAAAATCAAGATTTTTTTGTACAAAATAAAATTTTACTTCCATACAAAATAAAATTATGTATTCCAATGAGCCTCCCAGTTATTACCTAAATACCTATTTGCTGGTGGGTTGATGAGCATGGGAACAGGTATTAGATACCTTCCTCTTCTAAATTTAACTTTTGATATTTTGTTTTAAAAAAGCTGGTAAATGAGTATCCAAAAATAGACACTACCTATAATGGCTCTTTGTGGGGACATGTGCCTACCAATAGTCCCTCTTGGCTTTCTCATTACTTACTTTATTATTTATATTTATCATATTATTTTTCATTGTGCAATCAAATAATTATCAGCTAAAACAAGCCAAAATATTTTATGTCACTAATAACTAACTTTGACAATATTTTTCCTCAGGGTGTATTTATCTTCAGCGCTGTGCAAATGACTCCTCTTACAATGGGTGATTATGTATTTCCAAAATGGGGCCAAGGTGTTGGCTGGTTTATGGCTCTATCATCTATGGTGCTGATTCCAGGTTACATGGCATACATGTTCCTTACTTTAAAAGGCTCCTTAAAACAGGTAAAGTGTGTACTTCGTAACAAACTTACTCAAAGCATAATTCTATTTTCCTCAGTTACAGCATCAAAGTCTAGTATACCTCTTAGCTGCAGCCTGGCATCCTCAAGTCAGCCTATCTACAGAATGACCAGAATCCTGATGGTGCTCATGTATGCTTTATGCAAGTTGCCAAACAAATTGCAGCTAATTGCTGGTGAGGTACCAGGATGATGCTCAGCTGTGCAATCAGGCATTTAACCAGGCACGCAACTAAGATGAGCCTCAGCATCTCTATAGTTAGCTGCCATGAGCCACAGCAAGTTATACAAACCACTAGTTACAATTTTGATGTGATCCAGCAAAGAATTCAGAGATTCGCTTGCTTCTCTGTTCTGAGGGATGAACATCTACGTGCTTTCAAACTTTCAGATCTTAAAGTGTGTACAAAGTAAAAGTATTTAGTACTAATGCTATACCAAATTGTCTCCTACAATTCTTTTTGTTGATTTTGGGGGGGGGGATCCTTTCCACAATCTGTGTGGCATCTAGCAACCCACCCACCTGCACTTCTGACACTTCACTTGAAGCCCAGGGGAAAATGTTACAAGGTATACTGTTCCCAGAGGGCTATTTCAAATGAGGGGATGTAGGCAGCCAGAAGAAAATTGCAAAGTGGTACGAGATGTGTAATGTAAATAAATAAATAATCACTTTGCAATGTTATGGTAAGTTCAAAAACATCACAAAAAGAAATCCTAAAGCAAAGGTCCCCAACCCCAGGCTTGTGGCCCGCTGCCGGTCTGTGGCCTGAGCCAGACTGGGCCGTGGAGAGATACCTTCCCCCATCCCTGCACAAACTCACACACACACAACCCTTTGTGCCTGCGCATGAGCATGTGAGCACCCACACGAGCACTGCGCTGCCCTTTGTACACACACACGACCACGCTTATATTCACACGAGTACTGCACCACACTTTGTGCATGTGCAAAAGTGCACATGCACCTGCATGAGCACTGTGCTGCCTTTTATGCATGTGCATGAGTGCGGGCATGCTCGCTTAGCAAAGGGGGGTAGCCTGCCTTCCTCACTTTGTGCATGTGCAAAAGTGCACATGCGCCTGCATGAGCACTGTGCTGCCTTTTACGCATATGCATGAGTGCGAGCATGCTCGCTTAGCAAAGGGGAGTAGCCTGCCTTCCTCACCCGGTCCGTGGGGCTAAAAAGATTGGGGACCACTGTTCTAAAGGACTCTAAGAATGGGGCAGAAAGATGAAAATCTTATTCCTGGAGAAATTATACTTTTGAAAAATTGAGGACAAAACATGACATAGCACTAGTTTTACTTTCTTCCTGAAACTGAACACCACTCTGATCTTCTCCATACCAGCCAAACATTATACTGTAAACATTGGTAAAAGAGAAAAAGGAGAATGATTCCTTCGAAATGTAGCATTAGGGAGGGCTTGGAGAATGTGCTGGACCCTGAAGAATAATTACTGGTAGTCAGCCAAGATGACTCAGAAGACATTTTTCTTTTTTAAAAACAATTGAGATTTGTTTTGTTTGAAGGCCGCTTTGCAGAATTCTCTCCAAAATTTCTCCACAATTTGTTTGATGGCTATCTACTACCACCCCACAATGCCCTAGAACAGTGGTGGCGAACCTATGCACGTGCGCCACATCTGGCATGCATAGCCCTCTCTGCAGGCACTCAAGCCATAAGTCTCCAATGAAAAACACTTACCCATCCTACAATCCTGGATTTCAGAAAGAAGTCTTGGAAAGGGAGGGAGAGCCAAGGAGGCAATAGCCTCCACACCACAAACATACACACACCCCTGGACATCAGGTGTGGAAACACCCGGCTCCTGCCACCTGCACCTTTAAGGATTGTAGCCGGAGACGGAGCGGGGAATGTCCTGGGCAGGTGCTGGAGGTTTTGCGGCCAGAGGAGTGGGACTCATCGGGATAGTCATGGTTGGTTTTGTGTTGCGGTTTGGGCACTGGGGCTCAAAAAGGTTTGCCATCACTGCCCTAGAATAACACTAGGTAGAGGGAATTGGCCCAAATCCTCTTACATATCTATGCAAATGCTGTTAAGGTTTGGAGATAAATTTCTTCATGAAACCACTGTAGACACCACCTGTTTCATCCTGAGTCACACAGCTCAGTATGCAATAAGCAACTTCTAAATTGATTTCTTAACTTGAGGGAAATTACCTCTGTATGTTACGCCATTTGTGTTATGCCAGTGTAACTAGGCAAGAGGATTTGGGCTATTGCTGAGGAATTAAAGTACCGGCCAGGCCTCTGACACAGTTGCTGTTTTTGCCACTTGTAATGGCTGTGCAGAAATATGCTACAAGTGCAGCTAATGGAAAAGTCCATCTCTGAGAAACCACTGGATAATTTCTTCTTTCCCTGAAGAAGTAGGATGAAATGCCTCTCCATTCCTCTCCTTACAAAAAGTCAAGAATTTCAAAAGGTCATTGGTACACAGCTAGTTAAGGCAAGTATCCTGATTATGTAGGCTTGATTGCTACAGTTTACCATACTGTGCACTGTTTTACAAAGTTTTGTTCAGGTCATGTTGGAAAGATAATGAAGTAAGCCACCTTGGGCTCTTTTTAAGGAGAAAGGCAGGATAAAAATATTTTACCTAAATAAAATGAACTTGTGCTTCCTTCCTTCCCCATATAATTGCACTGTTAAAGAAGGACCACTAAGAACAAAGTATGAATTGAATCTGCAACTTCATGACATTCAAGCTGAGAATAGTGATATCCCTCTCTTTTCTCTTCACCTTAGCGTATCCAAGTAATGATTCAGCCAAGTGAAGACATTACTCATCCTGAAAATGGGCCTGAACAAGCACAGCAGAGCAACTCTGCAAACAAAGAAGCATATATATAAAGTTTGGGTCATAGAAATGATTCAAACCTTCCTCTGGGTGGGAGGGGGGGCAAACAAATAAACACAAAAGAAACATGGTTGAATATGACCACAAATTTATGTCTGAGAATAAAATTACCTACCTCTAGTGGCACAAAATACCATCACCACTATAAGGGAAGCAATTGTGGCTATGATCGAACCATTGTGTGGGCTTAGTTGTTGACAATGTTTTGTGTTTTCTGGCAATCCATAGACTGTTAACATTTTTATTCTCTTTCTCACTAAGAGCTGAGTATCTGTGGAATTTATAAAGGACACATGTAGGCCATTTTTAATCTACCTTTTAGAGCAACAATTTGAAGTTTTGTGCAGCTGGTTTTTATTAATATATTTCTTACTGTTTGAATCCCAGACTGTTATTTCTGAGAACAGTTAAATTGGAAAGCTGTTTTGTATTCACCAGCAAAGTATTTTTTACAAAGAAAATTTACAGTGAAAACGCTACCCTAAAATAGTAACCAATCTCACTCTTGAGTTGGTTTTTCTAATTTCCTTGAAAATATCCTTCTGCACAGAAGTATATTAAATAACTTGTAAACAAAAAAGCAAGCTATTTCTAAAAGTATAAAGCACAGATTAAATTGCACCACTACTTAACTCTGTCCACCAGGCCTCTCACATTTAAGATCTTATTTTATATATATTTTTGAATATTGTCAGTATAAACATATTTCAAATATTGGGCCAATTAGAAAAAATAAAAGTGGCAATATTATGACACATATACTATAAATCATAAACCTCTCCTAAAGCTCACCATATTTAAAGCTGTACAAATTATTATTTAAGCCAGATTGTGCTTCACTTTATGTTGCACCATCAACAGGTGTAACACTACATCACCAAAAGAGAATCGTACAAATATTTTACAGATCAAAAGGCTCCCCAAGGAAAATAATTGAGGGCTTTACAATTAGCACTGCTCTAGTTTGTCTGTTAAAGGCCTATCAACAATAAACGTTTTAGACTAGCAAAAGTACTATAAAAGCACTTTGAAGATTTTTTTTATTTTTATGGTTTTATTTAGATGTATGTCTTTCATGGTAATGATAAAGATACAAGGAAAAGGTCTTTCCATAAACAACGCCACACTATGTTCTAGCTTGCACTTTCCACACAGGTATCTATGGTTGACCAGTTTCCTCCTGTGTAGAAAACTGCAAGGCAATAGAGTCCATAATGGCAATTCTTGTTTGGCAGCTATGAGATAGACAGTAAGGATCATGGGGAAAGTGATCTGCAATGTTTTATTTTACATGACTGCAACAGAACTGTGCAATGAAATATGCTTTTCAGCAAAACTTGTGCAAAGTACAATGTTAGATAGCACACACTTTATGTAGAACTACTATGTGAACAACATGTTGTGAACGTTGGGTTTTTCGTTGTTTTTGTCTGAAGGTGACAAACATATGTTCTTGCAATAAGGTATTATTCTCAGAATGTCAAGCACATTATTGTAGAAAATATATATATACATATATTTCAACTTAACAAAAAAATTCTCATAAAAAGAGTATTGTTTAGTAGGGTCTAAACTGTTTCATACAGTAGGTCAGCTGTAAAATATTCAGAAATCTATGATACATGCTAAATGTCTATAGAAGAACTCACAAACAAATCCAAATGTCTTGTAGATTTTCAGGGTCTAGGAAAAAAGAAAACATGTCATACTACACATGCTTCATATACGTTATAACTGTGAATTTCATTAGATTTAAGATGCAAATTCAAACTTTCTCTTTATTGTTTATGTAACCAAGTCCCATGTTGTTCTAAGAAAAATGCAGTATTCAATGTTTGATTGTAGAACACTTATGACAGATGTTTGACAGATTTGCTCTTCAGCAAAATTCTGCGCAAACGTATCATATATAGCACAAAAATAGTGTTGTAGAATTACTGTGTGTAAACTGTGAATAGCTGTATCTTTTTGTAGTATTTGCCCTTTAAAAAAGAAAGAATATATGATCATATATGCTTTTTGCAATAATGAATTATTCTCTAAACATCAAGCAAATTTATCTCTATATAAAAATATATATGTAATATATACACATTCTAAAATATATATAGAGCCTGTTTAAAGAGAGAGAGAGAGAGTACAGTATAATTTAGAAAACTGCAATGTTCTATGGACCAAATGTAAAATATTTATAAATTAAGATGCATTTTAAATGTCTATAAATGGTGTCCTAACTAAAGCACGGTTGTTATGTAACTTTCCAAGAGCTTAGGAAAAAAAATAAAGATTATATTATACATTCTATGAAGTGGCTTTACTTTCATTCTTTCATTGGGCAAAAGGTTTTAATTTATGAACTAAAACTAATGAATTAAATTCCAGTATCCCAGAACTCACTCCCTTTGTGGATGACCATCACTGGAGAAATACAGTTCTTGGATCATCATTCTAGCTTTTTTGGAACAGAGGGTGTCAGACAGTCCTGGACACATACTCTTCTTCTCTGCTGCCGTGCACCCAGCTTCAAAGGAGTTTGTTCACCTTTTTCTTCCTGATTTTTAACCTCAAGCACAATGGTTCCCAACCTTGGGTCCCCAGATGTTCTTGAACTCCTAGAAACCTTCACCACTAGATGTACTTGCCAGGATTTCTGAGAATTGTAGTCCTGAAACATCTGGGGACCCAAGGTTTGGGAACCACTGCTCTAGTATCTTAACTGGGTGGTCCTCTGAACCCCAACCCACACATATATGGGAGAGGCGCGGCAGTTTGCTCTGTGTTATGTTGGGTTTGGCTGGCTCCAGGCACTGGATTTCCCTAGTTCTCTTTAGCAAATAAAGGAAAGCAAAAGTTTTACACAAAACACCAGCAACATCTTTAGCAGGGGACTCCCTACCCAGGAACAGTTGAATGAGATGACAGTGGCAACCAGAAAGAGGAGAGTGGGACAGAATTGCCTGATGTCTCTGACCTTGCCCGCTTAGCAAGTGGAAGGGGAAAGCAGGGATCAAAGTGCTTTGATCACTGCTTTCCCCCTCCACTTTCTTTCAAAGAAAGTGCTTTCTTTCTCCACTTTCTTCACAAGAAAGTGCTTTCCCCCTCCACTTTTTTCACAAGAAAGTGGAGGGGAAAAGCAGGAATCATCAAAGTGCTTTGATCCCTGCCTTCCCTCTCCACTTTCTTTCTTGCAAAGAAAGCGGAGGAGGAAGGCTGGGATCAAAACGCTTCTGATCCCTTTCCCCCCTCCTTACTTCCGTGTATAAGACAACCCTCAATTTTTAATCTAAAGATTTTAGACAAAAGTATCATCTTATACACAGAAAGATACGGTATGTATGTAATTGAGTGTATTTGTAAATTGCTTGTTGATGGTTTTCTCGCCCATCTTTTTCATTTTTCAATTGTCCTGTGGCCCATCTATGAATATATCTCTTACATGCTTGTAGCATCTGGACTCAAGCTACAGAAAGCAAGATTTAGACTGAATAAAAGACAATGGAGAAGTTATAGTATTGGTTTACAGAGACATCAAAGACCTGCCAGTCACTCCATGAAACAAATTTTTTAGGGCAAGCACTATCGTAGGTTTTCATGCACCCGTTAACTGCAACAACAGTAGAACTAAGGAGAACAAGTGCATATGTTCAGTTCTTCAAAAAGTCTCTGGTTTATGAATGTGAGATATTGTGCTTCTGTAGTCACCATTCAAAATGCCAGGAAATTGCCCAATATTGCTGCATAATATTATACCCGCATTGCCAGCAGGAAAAAAAGGATGCCAAGCTTTACATAGCACAGGGCAACCTGAATGTTGACAACACCAATGGCAGCAATCAAAATAGTCTACAGGATACCTTCTTCTGCTCACTACTAAAGCCCTGACAATTGCTTTGTGTTTGGGTCAGTTTCTGGGATTTTCCTTTGCATGGTGTCAATTTGTGAGTGGTAGTGGTGCTGGGGACTTCTGTTCAACAGGCTGTGGCAGTGTTAAAAATGACAGACTTTTGTCCCCTTCCATATAAAGCTGCCTGGCTGACTTCAGACACATTCTGATTGGTCAGAATGCTATGCTATAAGTAAAACAGCAGATTTCAAAGCATTTCAAGCTTTAAAAAGCACTAATTAGACAGCTTAATTTAGAATCATGAATGGCTCAATCATTCTGAACAACAACAAAAAGCCAGTAAAATGGATGTGTTCTTTTTTTAGGTATGCAAATGTTATCTATCAACTGTAGATTTATAGTTGCTTGTGTCTGTACAAGGGTTACTTTTTTTAAAAAAATCACAACTCAAAGATCCTTTGCCCAAACATCCCCATATCTGAAACAGAGCAAGAACAGACTTTCTGCTACATCTGTGCCAAATTTGGTGCTGATCTAAGGTCGACTTGCATAATTATGTATTTTTTGTTTGGGATATCCTTATTTTTGGGTTCAATTGGTGCCAGGGCCAAACCTATTGCTCTTCATGCCAATTTGCCAGACCTCTGGAGGAAGGATTTCTGGCAGCTCCCTGGCTCTGGGGTCTAGTTCCCTGAACCGATCCCTCTGTTGGCATGACAATGCATCAGCTACCCTTTTATCTAAGCCTGGAACATGTCTGGCGTGCACCAATATGTTAAGCTGCAACACCTGTAATGTAAAGGCCCTGACCAATGACATGACTCATTCTGACTGTGGCGTAAGGTTGTTTATGATATAAACGACCGCTTGGTTGTCACACCTGAAACAGACCACTGAATTAGCCCATTCCTCTGCCCAAAGCCATAATGCACCCACTATTGGGAAAAATTCTAAAAAAGTCAGGTCCTTTGTGATGCATCTCTGATGCCATTCGTCTGGCCATAAGCCTGAACACCATCTTCCTTGAAAATAGATGCCAAACCCTAATGACCCAGCTGCATCCAAGTGCACCTGGAAATCGACTCTCAAACTTATCTCGCTTCTCTAGAACGAGATGCCATTAAATTTATCAATGAATTGACTCCACACGAGGAGATCTTCCTTCATTCCTTGGGTCACCCTAGTTCTGTGTATAGGTCGATGAAGACCTTTCATAGCACCACGCAGGTGTCACAAAAATGTCCATCCTGGTGCCACTACTCTATAGGCAAAACTTAAGTGTTCAACTATTTCCTGTAGCTCCTTGAGTGATACCTTTTTTCTATGTAATAAAGATTCTATGTAATAAAAATGCTAGCCTAGATCTAAGAGCCACCAATTTATTACCAAGTAACCGCGAAGTTTGCTGTGACATGTCAAGTTCTATGCCTGGAAAGGCGAGGGACGTGGCTGGTCCCTCCGTCTTTTCTTCAGCAAGGGGCAACACTAGCTCTTTAGCTAATACCTCAAAAGTATCCAAGAATTTGCATTTATCTGAGTTCCTTTTCCCACAGAAAAGGAATTCATCAAGGTAATGGGCTGTGGAATTACAAAACACCCTGTGCCTAATCTTCTATTCAATAAATGTGCTAAATTTTTCAAACACAGCAGACGACACTGAGCAGCCCATGGGTAAAGCCCTGTCTATGTAAAATGAACCTTGAAACAGGAAACCCAATAGGTTAAAGTCAAGAGGGTGAACTGGCAAAATTCTAAATACTGATTTAATATCACATTTTGCCAGTTCAGCCCCCCCACACTACACCTCCTGACCATATTTATCACCTCATCAACTGATGTGTACCTAACGGTGCACATTTCTGGGGGGATGGCATCATTGACTGATGCTCCCTCCAGAAAGGACAAGTGGTATATTAAACAAAACTCACCCTGGGCCTTTTAGGCAGTATGCCTAAGGGAGAAACCCTCAGGTTCTCAGTGGGGGTGCTAGGAAGGGGCCATGTGTTACATACAGCACTGATGTTACCTGTCTGTCATGGGTTGGAGGGAAAGTTCCATCCTATGGGGAGTGGAAGGCGGGACATCAGGAGGAGGGGCTGTACTGTATATATATGTGGAGCTTGTGTGAAGCTGGAGGAGAAGCTAGAGGAGAAGCTGGAAGGAGAAGCTGGACTGGGAGTCTGTGTGTCAGACAGGGTACTACTGTGTGTCAGTCAGTACCTACCTGATAGGTTCAGGTGTCTGTATGGGTAGCCAGAACTGATAGGTTCAGGG